TTTTTTTTCTCTTTTCAGATTTTTTTTAGTCATTCTGTTTCGAGGACGAAACCCGTCAAAATGGCCGAGAATGTAATAAGCGAGACAACAACCTCTATGTTATCCCGCCAGATGTCGCTCGTCTGAACGAAAGGCATAGAACTTTCTTGATGTAAATGAAGAGAGTCAGTTGGAATTGTCTGTCCGAGTAGTTTCTAAGTGAAACGGATAATCTTAGTGATTAAGACTCTAAAAGACATATATATATATATATATATGTATATAACAGTAAATTTATTACTTTACTCTAGAAAGACGAGTCAAGGATATCATACACGTGATTCAAATGGCGTAAGTAATTTAATGAGAGTTTCCAATTAATACATATTTTTAAATATTTTATCAATTTGAATACCACAAAATCTGTCTTCAATGTGAGTCTCAATATGGAGTCTTAAAAAATATGCAAACTCAATAATGACAACAATCCGGTTTTTCTTCTTGAATGAAGACGTTTTGCTGCGTATCTATTACTTTCGTTCATTTTTGACCGACATATTAAGAATATTTATTATCTATGATGATTTTAGAACATCTTTCACTATATATATTCCATGAACCGCTTAGATTCAGAGGTTAGAGCACTTACCTTCCAATGAGGTGACTCGTGTTTGAAACCCAGAGATGACTGGTCGAGACAAATTCTGCGCTTTGCTCTTACCTACCACAATGCTGACATAAAATGTCCTCAGTGGGAGACGAATCATTTGTTTTCATCAACTTACAGTATGGCTATCATTGAGAGGTCCGGCTATTCGGGGTTTTCTACTCCACGTAACACAAATGCTAGTAAGTTCCGTCAAAAACTCCTCCAAAGAGAAAAGTTTTCCCCGATAGTTCCAGGAATTTTTTTGTCTAATGAATTAGGATAAAAAAATCGCAGGAATACGAAATTGAATATGGGTAGTCTTAAACTCAAACTCTTGTCAGCTGTTATTAAAAAATATATATTTTTCATTAATATATATTTCCAAAAATAATATATTTTCGCAAAAAAACATATATTTTCCGAAAATTTTCCATGAAGTGTTTGATGTAATAAAAAGAAAACATATCTATTGTTGCACAACTTAATCTGTTTTCTAAATAAATTCATAATTCAAACTGGGGGATGAAATGAGGATCATGAATTTTATTTTTATTTTTAGTATTTTTTAAATCAATCATAAATAAAAATCGATTCTGTATTCTTTTCAATATGTCACTCCTTTTTCAAATTATTGTCATTTTAAATAACTTATACCCTATTATAGCGACATCAATGTACCAAAAGACAAATTCGATACTTTTGCAAAAAACCAAAATTTGGAATAAAGAAATATGTTGGTTAAATTAAAATTTTGAACGCCCTGCACTAGGGAATGAATTAACAATTAAGGGCTTAATTTGATTCATAAAAGTTCTCGAACTTTTTTTTGCTTGTTTCTTATCAAATACGTATTTTTTTAAGATGTTTGATAGTTTTCAGCCTTTTTCGAAATTACTTTGAAACAATTGAAATAATTAGGTAAACATGAAATCTCATTGTGGGCATACAAAAATTTAATAAAAAAATAACTTCGTAAGATAGTTTTTTAAATAGATCACACGAGGATGATCAAATCAGATCACGATATGTAGGAACGACATGTTATGTTGACGAATGGTTCGCCAAACTCCTATTGCTTGCTTGAACCGGAAAAATTATAATTACCTATGACTTTTGCAATTTACAGTTTTAACTGAATTAATATTGAAATAGTGAAAATGGAAGAAAAAAAAAACGCTTTTCTTAGAAATTTTCCGAAACATATTTATCTATCTATATTTCTTTAAGAAACACAGACCACAGTTATGGTGCCATTTGTGGTAATAAAATGCAACATATTGTTAAAGTTAAAATGGAAATTAAGAAGTGTGCACTTGATAATTTCCGTTCCTGCTTATAAATATAAAAACCATTAAACAGTAGTTATTTTGCAAAATGTTACGTGTTTGAAACAATTTTGGACTTACCAAGGAATATTAAAATCAATTTTGCGCATCTTGGATAAACTAATATTGTGCGTACTATAAGATTTGTTTTCTTTTAAAGACCGAAGTAATGAATTACAAGTAACTGTCGCTGATTTCCTTTGTAAAATGTACGTGAAAATGCAACAAAAAAAATGGTACGAATTTATTTGAAGTTTGGACAATATTTCTTCCGGCGAAGACTTACTGCGATAAAACAAGTTTCATTAAAAAAAACGAAAGAAGTATCTAAAAGAAGCAAACCAGGTGATCATGGTGGCCATGCTACTTGCCAATGATTTTTCATGCATGTACCTTTAAACCTGCTTCATTTGCAGCTAAAGAGTCAGGTCAATGTTCTTTTCTATTCTAACTGTACGTCTGGTTTGTCATTTTATAAAATACTCGTTCTTTTGAAGCATGGCGCCTATATATACGAGTTTAGGAAATATCCGTTTTAAGTATTTTTATTTTCTAAACTGTTATGCACATATTAGAATACACAATTTAAAACTATAGAGGAAGCATGGAAAATAATAAAGATTAATGAAAACTGAAGAATAAAAGTTATAAAAATAAAATATTTTTAAAAGAATATATATATATATATGCGTGTGTGTGTTAAATTAACCATTCTTCTCTCTTATAGATATGGATAACTCTGATTGTGCGTTATGAAACAAGAATCAAGGTATTATTTAATATTACAGTTATTTGCAGCAAGCAAAAAAAATCTGATCTGATTTACAACCCAACATTTTCGCAACAAGCTCCAGGAATATGGAAAATGGTACCATTGTTCTGACTATATTGAGAGAGAATATTTAAAACAGAAATACGGCAATAAATTACAGAAATTTCAAATTCATACTAACAAAAATATTGAATTTTATTGTCTATTATGACAGAACAAGTAAACTATTTGTTTTTGTCCAAAAAAAAATTATACTATGATGTTACTGCTCATAATACAGCCGAACTAATCTTGATATTTTTATGGTTCAATTGAAATCTTTAAATATGTTTCACTGTTTTTCTTAAAAAAAATAAATTTCTGCCACAGTAAACAGCCAAGCTTCAGTATACTTCGATATTAAATTTTAGATTTGAGACCTATAAAATAATACATTTCTATTTATCAAAGATACGTAGAGTCAAACTTCAATCAGAAATTTCAAAAAATTTAAAAGCAGCACTTTGCATTTATTAAGGTTAAAAACTCATCGCTGTCCACACCCTTAGCTTTCCGTTTCACGGCCATATATAATTTTTTAGCCATTATTCATTTGATATTATAAATCAAAACTAGCTATTTCACCATGTCCGGAAGTACTGAACACTGGCTGATTTTAAACGTCTAAATATTTTATTTAATTTATTTAAAACTCTCCACCTGAATAAAAAGCACATTTTGCATCATAAAAAACTGCAAAACTGAAAAACCACCAAAACTACAGCACCAAATGGTACAGTCTTTATTCTTGGTATCATAGAAGAGTATCTTAAGTAAAAATAAAATTGATAATGATACGGAATTTAAAAACTGTTTAAAAACTGAAACTTAGTTAAACTTGGTGATCTGAAGTTAAAAGAATTCTATCCAAGTTGCTCTGAAGTTAAAATAAGCTGGGAACTAATACTACTAAAGTTATAAAAAGTGTAAAAACAGAAACTCAATAGGAAATTAGGAATAAGCTAAAAGAATGTAGTTAAAGATATAAAAACAGGAATATTATTTCTACACTGAAAATTAAAATAGAGTCAAAAGATCAAAAGTTTCAGAATATAGTAAGATTTACCATGTTTCTGTATTTAGGGGAACACCAAATTCTCGGCAGGTTTGACCGAAGTGCTTTGTTAATGAATTTTTGTAAAATTAAGCATAAAATATAGTTTCGTAAAATATGAAAAAAATTGGTAAATGCAGTAAAATTTGATAATTTTATGATACTGATACTGAAATTAAATTGTGGCCTAATTTATTCGGTTAATTGTTGAAATTAAGCTACTTAATTTATGCAAATTAAAAATACTGATAGTTAATATTGCTAAATACTGCTAAATCCAATCACTAAAAGACAAAAAATATTTTTGTATGTTAAATAATTTTTAATACATTATTGAGTGTATGATTGAAATCATTTTTTAAAGATTGGAAGCATGCTAACTAAAAATACCTGATTGTTAATATTGCTAAATGTAATCGAAAAGCAATGAATGTTTTTGTGAGTAAAATATTTCTTTAAACTAATGTCATCCTTCTATTTTTTTCAGATATGAAAACAATAAATGAAGTCGATAAGAAGATGTTCCACAAATTGTATAATTATACTAAACTTTAATAATTTGCTAATAAATTGAATTTTGATCTTTAGTTTGGTATTGTAGCATATTGATACTTTTAGTTATGGTTTATGTTTGTTTATTGCACCAATTATTATCATCTAAGTGATAAAATAATATTTCATTATTTTTACTTGAAGCATTGATTCTTTAAAAGTTAATCACGATATAAAGTAAGTATTGTGAAGGGTTTTTAAATTGTTTTCATTAGTAAATTCTTGGTTGTTTAATTATTATTATTTTCTATTTGATTTTTTTCCTTGCAATTTTTACATAATAAATGATAGCACAATCTGTAAGCACATGAAGCATATTCGTGTATTTACACAAAAATATGCATTTTAATCTTTTTTTCACTCTTCGCTGACATATATATTTTTATTTATATATGTAAACACATTTAATTTCTTTCCGTAATGAATGGAACATTGTAAGTTGTTTAATATTTAAATAAAATGAAAAAAAGAAGATATATTATAGAAAAAGAAGATTGAAGAAGGAAAAATGTCAAAATGGTAATAAACATTAAAAAAATCATCCATTGTTTATTCTTTAAAATTACCTTTAGAGACCAATTTAAATGAGTTTTATCTATTAACATGAAGTTTTTATCTATTAAGAGATACAAACATGTTTAATCCGTAGTTCTGCTTTTCCGTATGCGATGACACTATACGATTAACACTATACGATAAGTTGACAAATATTTTAGATAAGTACTAATTATTTAAATAAAAAAAAGTAGTGATCAACATTTGGAAAATTTTATTGTCTTCAATTAATAACTTTTATTACATATTTGAAAGTATAAAACATGTTAATTCCATGTTTAAAAATAAAAGTCTCGTGAAAATAAAATCCTAAATTGTTGAATAGTTAAATTGTTATTATTTCTTTTTCTATTTTCATCTCCTTTGTGAGGCAGAGAACTGTCAATGAACTTTCCCAATGAAGCCATATGAAACACAATATTTTTAAATTAACTATTAAATTTACTATAAATAACAATCTCTACTTCTATGTGATTGAAAATTGCGTGAAGAAGCATATTAGTTTTAATACTTCTGTTGCATTATGTTAATGCACAGCAACAAAATTCCGTGATAATGGATAAAAATCAAATAATTGTTGCCAGCTTTATTTCTGTGGAGATGATCAAAAAATTAAATATTATTCTTTTTCATTCAATTATTAAATTGTGTTCAAACATTTCCAGCATTAATGTATACATAGCTGAATGTATGTATGTACAAATAGAACTAAAATATGTATGTACAAATAGAAACTAAACGGAAAATCCGGAAAATTTTTGTTTTTCAATCCTCAGCTTGTAATCTCTTTTGAAAATAAGTCTTAAATAATTTATTACGAATATATTAAAATTTAGAAACATTTATAAAAAAGCATAGAATGCTTGATTTAACAAAAATTATAAATTTTTCTGACCTTGTAACAAAATTTACGCCCCGACAGGTGTCATATTCATAGAATCAATATTTTTTAAATTATATTTAGAATGGTGTAGACACAATTTAGGTTGTTTTGTTACATTTATATGAAAATTTATGCATGATTTGTTTTATCATTTTAGTTATACTTATATTGTTTTGTGTATGACTATTATATTATTTTCTTACAAATATATGCACCTAAAAAATACAATATTGTGTTGGCTGGAAGTCTGAGAGATCCTAGAATTGTAAACACAAATATTACAATAAAATGATCAACAGGTTTTCAATTATTTCATTATAAATATCATTCACATTTTAATATTTATTTTTCACTTTTAATACTTAATACTTATTAAAAAAGAATACGTACATCTAATTTACTAGTATTTATGTTTTCTGGCAAACTTTCTGCTAATAAAGTATCCCCTGTTTTACATCAAATGGTTTTATTTTAAATTTCATAATTAAACATTTTAAATTAAAATGCTGGAAAACAATATTGGATATTAAATAAAAAATATTTATCAAATTATTAAGCTTCCATTATTTCATTAATGGGAAAAGTTTCGTGAATTTTTGATATATTTTAATTAATTTGTAAAATAAATAAACTAATTCTAATCATTACTGAATATCTTAAACGAATAAAAATTCATCAATACTTACGAGATATTTCTGAAATTAAAAAACTGCACCGTTTATGCTTGAAGTAAAAGCATCGATAAAAAAGCACTTGAAGATAGAAATAATTGCATTTTTTGATAACATTTCAAGATCATTTTTTACGATAAGTATCTAAAATTTTTTATTATTATTATTCAGCCTATATCGTAACTTTTATGACTAAATATGTCCTTATTTTATTGTTGAAATTCCGACTTTTTTACAAATTAAATGTTTCATCTAATTGAGTATCATTTTATTGACAGTACAAAACATAAATGCTCCTTTCATAACGTATGTGTGCGTGGTTTATAACAAATTAATGTTAAAGTAATCAATCGTCGCAAGAACAGTTTGCTATTGATCAATATTTATCTTATTTAGAACTGAAAAAATATATATTTATTTAAAAAAATCAGTTTGATATCTATGATATAAATATAAGAGAGATCAAATCGAATTTAGCTCTGTTCCTTTTGATTTCAAACTTTCTTATTGACTTCAATTCCCAACTTCAAGATGAACTCACGAATTGCTACCTTCTTGTTCTTTATTTTTGCTGCATTAGCTATTTCAGGTAATAATTATACATTTATTAATATATCAATTATTTTTTGAGTTTTTCACATAAATATATATGTGATATTTTTAATGCATGTTATTTGAATCAAACTTGAATTTAAATGGAAAAATTTGAAATCGAATCCAAAGAGCCTAGTTTATTTAAATAATTCATTTTTTTTGCATAAAATGCCAACAGAAGTTGTGAGGTTTCAAAAAAACAAACTTAATTATAAGAAGTGCTAAACCAGATATTTGTGAATTGTATTTCTATTTTAATATAAAATATATTTACTATTGCGTATTTCAAACTGCTGAATTTTTTGATAAAACTTAAGCGGAACCGAAGTTCTAGTTGCTTTTAGTTACTTTTTATTATCCATTTTCACAATTGAAATCTTCAATTTTTATGATAGCATTTTGCTATCATAAGGATTTTGAAATTTTTCTAAATTTAAATAAAAATCAAAAAAAATTTTTTTAATACTTTTGCTATATAGTTATAAGAATCTTTTGATATAACTGGGGAATGTTTATTTAAATTTATTCTGCGAAATATTTTTTTCTTGTATCTTTGAAATCTTTTTGATGTTAATTTCCTTGTATACTCAAAACGACTGTTTAATGTCTGTTGGCCCAGAAAATTAAACAAGAAAATTTTAGCAAGAATTGAATCAGGAAAAATAAATATTACTGTATTATCATTTACAGAAATTAAAAAATGAATGAGAAAATTTCCTCAGTTCATAATCATTCTATTCGTCATTCACTAAACTATTAAATAGGAGACCTTTTCGTCAGTATATTTGTTTAAATTCGACGATAAAACTGAATTTAGACATGTTAGTTACAGGAAAAAGTAAAGTTAATTTATTGTTGAATTGGTATAAACCACTGTTGTAAAAATCTTGAAGAGCGTTAAGTGGGTGTATATTCAAGGACATATTCGAGTTATGAAGTTTTATGAATAGTTAAGTCAAAAGTATAAGTTTTGAATAAGGAAGACTTAACTAATTAATAAAAACATCTCTTTTATAGCTACGTTTGCTAACGGTATGTAACACTTTTGAGTTCATTTTGCTTTTTTCGTTATTTTTCATTTCATTGAATCATATTTTATTCTAGTATATAAAAAAATATTTTATTCTGAATAAATATTTCACGAATAAATATTTTTTTCGCAAGAGAAGACAAACTCTCTGTAACTTTTAACTTTAATTTGTGTTTATTTTTGGAATCTAAAATCGAAACTGTCTTTAAAGATATATTTGGATTTAAATTAGTTATTTTATTCAGTTGATTATAGATATGATTTAAATCAGTGCAATTTGGAAAATTAATCTGTTATGTTCCGTGTTGTTTATGGGTTTTGCATTTTTCATTTCACATATTGAAATTTTTTATCTCATGTCAGTTTAAAAACAGTTATAATATTTATTAAACAAATATAATAATTTACTTTGATGTTTTTTTTAAAAAATATAGTTGAATAATATAGGATTTAAAAAGTAATTTAAGTTAATTATTAATTTACTAACAAAACATCCTTTAACTAACGAACTGGTTATTAAAATACTATTAAATAATTTAAGATAAGCGAGTTAGGAAGTTTAGGCACTAATTTAGACATGTTTGTTTCATATTTAGATAACTTCCTTGCAAAATTTATATTTAATTCTGTGTTTGTCTTAATGTTAAGATTATATCATGATAATGTATAATTATATCTTAACTCAAGTAAAGCGAGGGGAAAAATCTTACTTAAGAGCATTTGAACTTTCATAAAATGTTCTCAATACGAAACTTTTACTCAAAAAAATATAATATTTCCAAAGTTAAACGAATTTAAAAAAAAATATTTTAGCAATCAAGAGTTAGTTTTTATATTAGTAACCACTCTTAACTAGATAATATTTGATTTAAATTGCTCTTTTTTTTCAGTTCAAGTGTATTCCAACATAGATGACGCTGATTTGGACTCTGAAACTAGTATGTAATAAAATAACTTTAATCACGTATGAAAAAATTACAGATTAATAAAATGCACATCTGTAGTCGTTTTAACTATTTACATGGAGTCTTCATTGAGATAGATAAAACTAAGGAAGTTATTATTAACTATACTTTAGTAAATATTCTTTCATCTTAGGAATGGAAGGTATTTTTAAGGGACTTTATTATGTAACTCTAAGTTTACACAATTCTCCAATCAGTTTTCCTGTGTGTATTGATAATACGAAAAAACTTCCTATATGTTTCGATTGAATACGCGGAAACTCCCTATATGTTTCGATTGAATACTTCGATTGAATACGCGAAAACTCCAAATATGTTTCGATTGAATACTTCTATCCATGCATTTTGACATTTTGTTAAGGTAGACTTAAGTTTGCATGATCCACATAAAGTTAGTTTTTTTAATCTAGAAACTTCGCTATGTTATTATCTTTTTTTTTATCGAATGTTCTCATCCGCCTATAGGAATGTTTTATTATGTATGTCTGAATTCAAGCAAACCATCTTTAAATTCTCCTCTTCGCATCGAAATAATGTGAAAATATCAATTGTTTTCATTATGGAATATTCTCGTCAATTTAAATTGATCATTGTTAATAAATTTAAGTCTAACGAAATTGCCTTGAGTTTGTAGCTTTATATGGAAACTTCGTGAAATTATTATTATTTTCTTATTTGAATAGTTTTGATTCCGAAAAATATTTTTTTTATGTTAACCTAAGTTCACCCTTTCTACCTCGAATCTTCAGATCCAGTTACATGAAAATTTTCTGAAATATTTAACAAATAAATTTTCGCCTGAAAAAATCTCACCCTGGCTTTAAGGCGAGGGAGTTTCAATTCAATTTTAATGGTGCTGAGTTCAGATTTATATTATTAGTTTATTAATTAAATGCTAAATACAAAAATTAATAAATAGAAAAAAGGAATAAAAATCATCGTTAATCTTATTTTGATTTTTTCAAAATTTTCGAAAGTTAAACTTTTTTTATTTATTTCCTATTTAAAACACAAGCTTCCAAAAGTTTATTATAAAATTTACTTATTTTATCACATCATTACCTATTTTTAACTAAAATCATTTGCTGTCTACTAATGTTTGTTATCAACTATATATATCAGTAACTTTATTACTTTACTCTAGAAAAACGAGTCAAAGCTATCATAGCCCAGATGATGCAAAATCAGTAAGTAATTTAATAAGAGTTTCTAGTTAATAATCAGTTTTGATCGAGTAATCATTTTGTTTAATTCCTCAAAATCCAATGTGCGTCTCATTAATGAGTCTTAAAAAATTTGCAAACTCAATAATGACAACAATCCGTTTTTTTCCTTGAATGAATATTTGTTGTCAGCGTATCTATTTTTTTCTTTCGTTTTTTGCAGACATATTAAGAGTATTAATTAATTATGATGATTTAAGAACATCCTTCATAATACATATTCCATGAGCCGTTTTGACTCAAAGAATAGAGCACTTGCCATCCAATGAAGTGACTTGGGTTCAAAACCTAGCGATGGCTGGTCAACACGAATTCACACCAACCTCAATGCTGATATAAAATATCCTTAGTGGTAGACGAATCACGGGAAAGGATCAACTTGCTGTGAGGCTATCCTTGAGAGATCCGGCTATTCGTGGTTGACCACTCCACGCAACGCAAATGCGAGTTAGTTCCATCAAAACCTCCAGAGAGGCAAATTTCTCCCAATAGTTCCATTAGCTCCTTTGTCTACTGGATTGGGGTAAAAATCACAAGAATACGAAGTTGAATATGAGTAGTCATAAACTCAAAATCGTGCAAACTGTTCAACGGCAGTTATGAAAAATATGAAGTGAATATATATATTTCCCATGAGATTTTTTTTCCATAAAGAAGTGTTTGACGGTATAAAAATAAAACCTACCTATTGATACCAAACTTAAACTATCTTCCAAATCCATAATTCTCACTATGAGGATAGGAATTGTATTTTTAGTTTTTTTTTTACCCACTCATGGTTCTGCACGTAAAAAGCCGTACTTTAACCTGCAGTCTTCTTCGCATAGCAAAACCGGTTATTTCATGTTAGGTAGAGAAAGAGTGTATTGGGAAGAAGCGTTTTACCAAATTTGACCATTAGCAAAACCGCCAAACTAACTGTTAAGGTAAACAAACTATACGAATCATTTTTTCCATACGTCACGCATTTATCAAACTATTGACATTTTAAATAACTTATACCCTATTACAGCGACATCGCCAAAGGCAAATAAATGCGGAACTTCTTGTGAAGAACCTAAATTTTAAATAAAAATATAGGTTAAATTTAAGATTTTGAACTCCACACACTAGGGGATGAATTAACGATTAAGAGTTTTAATTGATTCATAAGAGTGTTCTCCCTTAACTTCTTCTTTTTTTTTTTGCTTGTTTGAGATCCAATGTGTATTTCTTAAGACATTTGAGAGCCTCCAGCTTCTTTGGGAATTACTTTGAAGCAATTAAAATAATTTTGTAAACATGAAATCTCATTGCGTGCATACAAAAATTTAATAAAAAAATATCACCATAAGATCATTTTTTTAAATAGATAACACGGTGATAATCAAATCAGATTACGATAGGTACGAACGATTGTATTGTTGACGAATGGTTCGACAAACGCTTTTTCATTTTTCTTCTTGCTTACTTCAACCGGAAAAATTTAAAATTATCGCTGACTATTGTTATTTATGGTTTTAACTGAATTAATATTTAAATTGAGAAAATTGAAAAAAAAAACACATTTTTCTTTGCAATTTTCCAAAACAGATGTATTAATCTATATTCCATTAAGAAACACAGAAAACAGTCATGGTACCATTTATGTTAATAAAATGCAAAAAAATTTTTAAAGTTGAAACAAAAATAAAGAAGTGTGTATTTGATGATTTCCGTCCCACTTTATAAATCCCCCCTTTTAAACAGTAATAATTTAATAATATGTTACGTGTTTAAAATAATTTTAGACTTACCAAAGAATATTAAAATCAATTCTACGCATCTTGGATAATAAATTCAAATCGTGCGTAATTATAAGATTTGTTTTTTAAGGACTGAAGTAATAAATTACAGGTAACTGCAACTGATTTCCTTTGTAAAATGTATGACAAAATGTTTAAAAAAAAAGAAACTAATTGTTAAGATTTCATTAGAAGTTTGGGCAATATTTCTTCCGGCGAAGACTTCCTACGACTTACATCTTAAAATTAGAGAAAGAAAAATCTAAAAGAGACAAACCTGGTGTTCATGGTGACCAAGATATTTGCCTAGGATTTTCATGCATATACCTTTCAACCGGCTTCATTGGGTGTTAACGAATGAGGCCAATGTTTTTTGCTATTCCATCTCAATGTCTGATCTGTTATTTTATTAAAATCCCGTTATTTTAAAGCAAGCTATATATATATATANCAATTCCCTTATATATATATATATATTAACCATTCTTCTTCCTTATAGATATGGTGCTTAACTCTGATGGTGTGTTTTGAAACAAGAATCGAGGTATTATTCAGTTTTATAGTTTGTAGTAGAAAACAAAAACAAATCAGATCTGACTTACAAATTAAAATTTTGCCGCAAGCTCCAATAAATTGAAAAATGGTAGCATTGTACTGAATATATTGTGAGAGTATATTTAAAACAGATATACGGCAGTGAATTACAGAAATCTCAAATATGATCAAGAGAATTGAAACAAAACTTTTGCATTCAAAAATAGGAAGAACTAGTAACCTATTTTTTTTGTTACAAAAAAATAATATTATTATGTTACTGGTCATAATACTGACTGATTAAACTTGATATATCATGGGTCAATTGAAATCTTTAAATATGTTTTATTGTCTTTTAAAAAACAAGTAATTACTGCCATAGTATGGAGCCAAGTTTCATTATACTTCGATACTAATTTTTAGTATGTATAATAATCACTAAATATAATAAATACATAAATATAATAATTATATGATAATAACTAAATATGTGGCAAAAAGAACCATAATTTTTTGAACCAGAATATGCAGTAAACCGTTATTATATGAATGGAAATATTGCCAAATCAATGGTTTAAATACCATATATTTTAGATTTATTGCTACAATTATGTTTTTTTTTAACAGAAGTGCCATTATCATATAGTACGGTAATTTCCACTGATTTTTTTTACATGTACAATAAGTTATTTTAGATTATTGTGTAATAGGATTAAAGTCCTTTTTTTAAAATTTTTTAAAGATTTGTAGCATTTATTTTTCTTAAAAACCTACGAAAATTGCGTCATTTAAATTATGTTGTTGTTGCTAATTCCCATCTGGTCTGACAGAGTCAGACCAGATCAATAAATCCGTTGACATTTGGAAAGTCCGAAGCTTAAAGGGGAGAGGAATGAATGTCGTTCCAGACAAGCCCTAAACAGTTCAAGATGTGCTCAGGTGATGCCTGGTTTTGTTGGCATTTAGAGCAAAGAAGAAAGATCTTTTGATTAGCAGAAAATGTGAGACTTTTCAGGTGTCCCTTGCCCAGTCGGGATAAGCAGGTGTTGGTCTGTCTGTCACCAGGAAGAGATGGAGTGAGTCCTGGTCTTTTTGCTTTATACCAGTAGTGAGTAGGTGGAAGCAGCCACTTTTGTTTGCTCTGGGCCTTTTGCCTTGCGAAAAATTCAAGGTATGTAAGCTCTGAGGTGAAGGGGACTGGTTAGTCTAGTCCCTTCCTTGCAAAAGTGTCAGTCAACTCGTTTCCGTGGATATCGACGTGGGACGGGATCCATTGAAAGTGGACCTCAAGCTGCTTTCAGTCTTCTACCTCACTGTGCTCCGGTCTTGGGACAACAGAAGTTGCATACCCCCCCCCTCCAATGAATCATTTAAATTATACTAACTATAAATACTGGCTGCTGTCTAATATTGCTAAATCTAATAACTTAAAAACAAAGAATATCTTGGTGTGTTAAGTAATTTTTTTTTTAAACTAATGTCATCCTTTTCCTTTTTTCAGATATGAAAGCAATAAATGAAGTCTTTAAGAAGATGTACCACAAATTGTATTGTTATACTAACCTTAAATAATTGACGAATAAATTGAATTTTGCTATGTTGTTTGGTATAGTAGCATATCGTTATTTTTAGTTATGGATTACCTTTGTTTATTGTACCAATTGTTATCTTCTAAGTGCTCTAAAATACTATTTCATCATTTTTACTTGAAGCATCGATTCTTCAAAAGTTGATCACGATATGAAATAAGTATTGTGAAGGGTTTTAAAATTGTTTTGATTAGTAAAAATACTTGGTTGTTGATTTATTATTATTTTCTATTTGATTTTTTTCCTTGAAATTTTTACATAGTAAATGATACCATACAATCAGTAAACACATGAAGCATATTCATGTATTTACACAAAAATATGTATTTTAACCAATTTTTCACTCTTTAATGACATATATATTTTTATTTATTTATGTATACACATTTCTTTTTCTTCCGTAATAAATGGAACAGTGTAAGTTGTTTGACATTTAAACTAAAATGAAAAAAGGAAGATATATTTGAAGGAAAATAGTTAAAAATCATAATAAACATTTAAAAAATCACTCATTGTTTATTCTCTAAAATTAGCTTTAGAGATTAATTTAAAAAATGCAAACATGAAGTCTACATTTGAAGCACATAAGGTTTATATCTATTAATAGATGCAAATATGTTTAATCTGGATTTATGCTTTTCCTGTCATTGCTTATAATGTTTCTTTTTAACACTATACGATAAGTTGACAAAGATTTTTTTGATAAAAACAAATTATTTAATTGAAAAAATTGGTGATCAAAATTTACAAGACATTATCGGCCTCAATCAACAACTTTCAGTGCAGATTTGAAAGTATAAAACATGTTAATTCAATGGTTAAAAATGAAAGCCGCTTCCAAAGAATACAAATTTTCATATGGATATAATATTTTGATGGTTATTAATATATAATGATTAATTAAAATAATTATACTTGATATTTTGCAACTGGGCAACTTTAAAGAAAACATCTGCTTGAACCGACCTTTTTTATTAATTTATTTTTTATAAGTTTTGTCAGATATATATTATAAAGTTACTTTTAAATTTACAATAAAATTGTACTCAAACTTTCAACTGCAATTTACGTGCACTACAGCGGAGAAAGTCCTCCATTGGTCTGTTACAGTAATATTAAATAATGTATTTGAGTTTCTTGATGTCTTTTATACATATTCTTTAATCTTTTGCTTCGGCGTTCAACGGCAATTAATTTTTCGATTTTTAATTCGATAAAAAACTGTTATTTCTAATCATTTCCGCAAGATTGAATGATGACCCTTTAATAACTAGCTAAAAAGTCTAAGCATTGTTCGTGTTTGGATGCTCACCTGCAACTATTTGAAACCAACAACGAAATTTTAATGGGGAAAAAAGGACACTAACGGCATCCCCGCTTTCCTTGAGACCTACCATTTTCGAATTGCACTTTGGAAAGAATGCAATGGCAGCTAGTATTTTTTAGTTATTTCTGCGCCATTTGTGTACTGTAAATTCGCGATAGAAATACTTCAGATAAATACAAAAGATACAACAAATTAAAAAAAAAAAGATCGAGGTTACTTGCTTGCACTTTTGGAGACATATATATCATTACCTCAGTAATAAAATCTTTCTTATTGTAATTTTTTCTTACTTGAAAATACACATTTAACAGCAAAAAGCAAATAACTAAAATGGATTATACTGAATGGAAATAATTTGTTATCTGTTATGTTTCGTTTTCCATGTATAATTTCAGTAATTATCAAACCATTTTAAATATCAACATACGTATAAGCTTTCTTATTCAAATCTTCATCGCAATTTATGCTACGTTTTAAAATTTTGAATATATATTTTCAATGCGAATTCCTCACTTATGCTCTTTTCTCTGATGGTCCCTTGAGCAAGCAGCTATGTTAAAGTTCACTGTAATTCCCCATTTACAATTTTTCATCAAAAATTAAATAAGTATTCGATTCTGTACATAAAGTATAATTACAAAGAAAATCATATATTATAAATAATTGCTGTTTACTTAATATAAGCTTTAATAAAGATTGTATTGAAAAAGGTAGGCATGAAGTCTTCTTTTAAAACACATGTGGTTTATTTTTTTAAGAGCTACAAATATGTTTAATCTGGAGTACTGCGTTTCCTGTCCTTATTTATGAAGTTTTTTTTTAAAACATGAGGATGGTTTACTTGCCTCATTCCATTTTTTATTGTAGAAATGAATGAACGTGAATCAAACTTTATTATATTTTATTGAAACATTTATTTATTTCAAATGGCAGAGGTGAATTGACATGTTAAAAAGCAAAAACACAGGAACAAAACAAGAAAGTGAAAAGTCATTTCCTCAGGAGCGTTCTTGCTTCCCAATATCACTCGGTAGACGACGACCCGCGGAGGGCCCTGCAGCACAGGATGTGGCAGCCATCCAAAACAGCTTGGCTCTTGCACAGAGAACAATAGGGATCAGGTGCCAACCCTAAACGAAACAGGAGCGCGACTAGGTAGTCATGTCCGGTATATAGTCGAAACTGAGCCACCGCTTCGCGGCGCGGTCTGCCTGGAATGGTGTTCAGACGAAGATCTCTCCACACTTTAGTTTTTACCCTTTCTGACAATTGGTGATAGAAATCCCCATTGATTTTTGATCTAGCAATCCTTTTTAAGGTTGAAAAGGGGACTGGGCTACTAGAAGCCTGGAGAATTCTTGTGTCTCTTTTTGCCAAAACATCAGCCCTCTCATTTCCTGCAATATCACAGTGCCAGGGAATCCATTGTAGGGCTACAGTTTTGCCAAAATGGTGGAGTTTACGTATCGCATCCAGACATTTTAGAACGTCGCAAGTGGAGGGGCAATGCATAGATTCAATCGAGCAAATCACCGCCTTTGAGTCAGAAAGGATAATCACTTTTATTGAAACATAACAAGCAATATAACTGGACAGCCAGTCGCTGCCGTGAAGCAAAAGAGAGAGGTATTAGTAAAACGTTCTCCTTGAGAGTTGATGAACGAATGTCTCTTATTGGCTGGAGCATCGGCTGCTGATGACGTAAGATCATGAGATGACGTAAGCATACTACAGAGCTTCCCCCCAGTGACATAGTCACGATATCTATATTATTGAAAATTTTAGAATTGAATAGTATCAAAAAATAAAATATAAAAATACAAATTTTATAGTGACACTAAAATGAAAAACACATTTTTACAAATTATTCATATTATGTATTCAGTGACAAAATATTTAGGAAAATGAACACGACGACCAGATCTGGTAATGGCAGGTTTCTCTTCCTTTTTTTCCTTTTAATTTTTTCATTAAAGGTTATGTATTAATTTTCAATTTGTCTGAAATTTGGTAAGCTGGTTTAACTCGATCTATAGATACAGTTACTTTTTTACCATTAAAATCACTCACAAAGGTTTTATCGGAACGCTCCATTACCAAATGAGGTCCTGTGTAAGAAGGTGATAGTGGTGGACGGATTTTATCCACTCTTAAAATTATATGAGTACAAAATTGCACATTTGGATTTACATAAAATTTATTGTTTCCATGCATTGAGGTGGCAATTGGACTTGATTTTCTCATCATAGCCGTTAAGTTTGTGGCGTAGTCTTCAGTAATTGGTGCAGAAATAGAATCGATGTTTAAAAGATCTGAAGGTAGTCGTAATGAGGTGGCAGAAGCAAGCTGTGCACAGGTTGCATTAATATCAGCTTTTAATGTGGTACGAATGCCTTATAAGACTATGGGCAAAATTTCTGTCTATTTTTCATGCTCATGTGCTATTATTGAGCTTTTAAGTCGTCTGTGAAAATTTTCAATTATCTCGTTGCTATGCGGGTGATAAGAAGTAGAATGAATGCGATTACAGCCTAATAAGTTTGTGAGGTTTCGAAAAAGAGATGATTTGAAATTTCGGCCCTGATCGATCGTTATAGTAACGGGTGTACCAAACCTAGAGATCCAACCATACACAAGTGCCTTAGCGGTTGTCTCAGCGGTCATATCCGTTGTTGGAATTACCTATGGCCACCTCGTAAATCTGTCGATTATAGTTATACAATATTGTTTTCCTTCAGATATTGGAAGAGGCCCAATGAAATCTAGATGAATGTATGAAAATCGATCGTCCAGTAGCGAAAATGTTCTTAATGAAGTTTTAGTACGTTAAAAAAGTTTAGCTCGCTGACATTTTTCACAAGAACGAACCAAATTTTTGGTGTCTACTTTCATGTTAGGCCATACGAAACGTTTAGATATTAAATTAGTTGTTGAGTATATACCGGGATGAGAAAAATAATGCAAATTGTTTAAAATAATTTCTCTAAATGATTTAGGAACAAAAGATCTAGGATATTTAGTTGAAAAGTCACACATTAATTTTACATCTTCTAAAGGGAAATAGTGGTTTTCCAAGTTTAAAGGTGTTTTATTTGAATTTAATATATCTTTCAACTCAGAATCGTTGTTTTGTTCTTGCTCAAGGTTTTTAAAGTCTATAATTGGAGGTTTTGAAATTGTTTCGATTTCTATTTTGTGATAGAGTATCTGCAATTATATTAGATTTCCCATCAATATGCTTAATATCAGTTGTAAATTGTGAAATATAATCAAGGTGCTTCAATCGACGGGACGAACATTTATCCAATTTTTGTTTAAACTCGAAAATTAAAGGCTTTGATCCGTAAAAACAGTAAAATTTCTAGCCTGAAGCACATGGTGAAATTTTTTTATTGATGCATAGATTGCCAATAATTCGCGATCGTAAGTGGACCAATTTTTTTGACTTTTGTTTAATTTAGTTGAAACGAATGCTATTGGTCCCCATTTATCGTTGTTAAGTTGCATTAAAGAGCTACCGATTGCAACATCAGATGCATCGGTCCATAGACTAAGTTTACCAGCAGGTATTGGATATTTTAAAAGTGTTGCATCAGTAATGGCTTGTTTAGCACCCGAAAAAGATTTATTGGCATCATCTGTCCAAATTAATGGTATATCAGACTTTCGATGATTTCGTATGATTTATTCGATTTCTTTTAATTTTTTTGTCTTTCCAAAAATTTAGTTAAAGGCGAAAAAATATAAGCAGCATTAGGGATGAATCTTCTGTAAAAATTATAAAACCCTAAAAATCTACGTAATTGTGTAATAGTTTTAGGTTTAGGAAATTTTAAAATGACATTAACACGGTCAGTAAGAGGTACAAAACCTTGTTCTGAAATTTTAAATCCCAAAACATTTAAACTGTTTTGACCAAAAATACATTTAAAAGGACTTGTACTTAAACAATAATATTGTAATCTGTTAAAAAGAGATTTTAAATGCAATAAATGTTCTTCATGAGAATTAGAAGTTATTAATATATCATCTAAAAATGCATAAACACCATCTAATCCTCTAGTCACTTCGTCAATGAATCTATGAAAGGTACTCGAAGCATTGCGTAGACCAAACTGCATTCGTGTGCTTTCATATAGTCCGAAAGGAGTTATTATCTCGGTTTTATGTACATCTTCGGGGGCTACCGGGATTTGATGAAAGGCTCGAATTAAATCGACATGAGAAAATATTTTTGCTCCATGTAATTCAGAAGTAAAATCCATGATGTTTGGTACAGGATATTTATCCTTTACAGTTTGAGAGTTTAAAGCGCGATAATCACATACTGGACGCCAGACCAAACTATCTTTTTTAGGAACTAAATGTAAAGGTGATGAAAAATTGCTTTTTGAAGGGCGCATGTGACCTAAATCTATCATATGTTGAAATTCTGCCTTTGCTATTTTTAACCTATCAGGCGCTAGACGCTGAGGTTCAGCAAAAACGGGTGGACGGGAAGTTTCAATATGATGTACTACATTATGCTTAACAATTTGGTCAGAGCAAATAGGCTTCGTATTTTGAGGATATTCATTCTACAGTTTGGTATATTCATTTTCGCCATAAACAGTTTTAATAGAAACAATATCAGCATGTTTAAAAATATCATGAGAACTTAAATTCGTATTCATGTTATTTAAACAATGGTTTCTCATATCAGGTTTTAAATTAAAATATTAAGGAAAATCAGCTCCTAGAATTGAATTAGGAATGTCACATATATAAAAAAGGAAAAACAAAATTTTTTCTTAGACCTAAATCTAATGTTAATAATTTCTTACCACACACTTTAATTTTAGTATTATTTGCAGCATTAAAGTTTTGAATAGGAGTAAGTTTTTTTTCTCTTTTAGTAGCAGGAATGATGGAACAGTCACTTTCTGTAGCTACAAGAGACGAACTATTCGTTTTTCCATCACGAACAAATAGGCGACAATTGGTAGGAGGCAAGACGCATGCTGTTTCTACTCCTGCCTGTTGGCGTTTTCCTGGAAATTGCAAGGTTTAATGCACTTTCTAGCATCAGTTTTGCATTTTTTGATGATAATAGCAGATTTCAGAATTTCGGTTCGGTGATTGCGACACATTGCGGTCTCGATTGTTAAATTGTTTATAGTTACGATAGCTTGATCTGCTACGATTTCGCAACACAGCAACTTCCTTTCTCAGCGCCTAGATTTCGGCTATGAGTTCTGCATTATTACATTGGGAAGTAGGACAAATTGAGCTCACTTCCGATGGCACAACTTCGACAATGCGGTCTGCGACTTCAGCAGCTTTCGTTGGAGTTATAGATGGAATTGGAGCTAAAATTGACTGAATGTTCAGTGGTAGTTGAGTTAAAAATAATTCCAGTAGTAATGTATCAGATACTTGGTGTGATTCCGCTCTTCTCCGCTTTATTCGTAATAGTTCATTAGGTTTTAAGTCTCCGAGTTGCTCACCGGTGAGTAAGCGTCGAATTTCCTGAGATTTAGTTTCCCCACAGCGAGCATCTATTTCAGTCTTTAGTTTTAAGAAGGGATCAGTTGCATCAGGTGTGGTGATGACATCTCGAACTATGGCTGCTACTTCTGGTGGAAGATGCGATAGACAGTAGTTAAATTTGGTTTTGCTTTCCGTTATCGGTTTCGGTGTAGCAAGTTGAAATGTAGCTTCAACCATATGAAACCATAAGTGAGGGTGGGATATGTTAAAAACGGGAATTTTAATTGCCGAGGACTCAGCGTCAGTCATTTTTGTATCGATGTAATCCACAGGCACATTCTTTGAAGAAACGAAAGCGAAACTGAAACTTTTCGGTCGCTATTCCAAAACAAAAGGCTCTTCTTCAATATCCAGTTGAGAAGGTCACCATAAGGATGGTTTACTTGCCTTATTCCATTTTTTATTGTAGAAATAAATGAACGTGAATCAAACTTATTTGCATTTTATTGAAACATAACAAGTAATATAACTGGGCAGCCAGTCGCTGCCGTGAAGCAAGAGAGAGAGAGGTAATAGTAAAACGTTCTCCTCGAGAGTAGATGAACGAATGTCTCTTATTGGCTGGATCATCGGCGGCCGATGACATAAGATCATGACGGCTGTCGGAGCATACTACGATAAATAGACGATAATTTACGATAATTTGACGAATATTTTAGATAAACACTAATTTTTTTAATCGGAAAAATTAGTGTTCAAAATTTACAAGACTTTATTGGATTCAATAAATAACTTTTGGTATAGATTTAAAAGTTTGTAATTCCATGTTTAAAAATAAAAGTTGCTTGAAAATAGTAGCCTAAATTGTTGAATCGTTAAATTTTTGTTATTTCTTTTTCTATTTTCAGTTCCCTTGTGAGGCAATGAACTGTCAATGAACTTTCAGTGAACTTTCCTAACGAAGCCATATGAAACACAATATTTTGAATTTAAGTATTAAATTTATTATAAATAACAATCTCTACTACCCTGCGAGGGAAAATTGCGTAAAAGAACATATTAATTTTAATACTTCTGCTGCATTAAGTTAATGCGCAGCAAGAAAATTACAATGATAATTTATAAAAAACAAATAATTGTCGCATGCCTTATTTATGTAGAAGTAATTAAAAATATAAATATAAATTTTTTATTCCATTACTGAATTGCGCACAAACATTTCCAGCTTCAACATATAAATATGATGTAGCTAAATGTATGCATGTACAGTGAGCAAAAAGAAACTAAACGGAACACCCTGAATAATTTTGTTTTTTATTTCTCAGTTTGTTATTTCTTTTGAAAATAAGTCTTTCATATTTTATTATTAAATCATTAACATTTTCAACAATTTATAAAAAAGTATAGAATGTTTGTTTTGTTAAAAATTATAAAATGTGTTGACCTTGTACCGAATTTTACGTCGAGGCAGGGGTCATATTCATATAATAAATATTTTTTAAATTATGTTCAGAAAGGTGTTGACAATATTTATGTTATTTTGCTACATTTATTGGATAATTTATGCATGAATTGATTTCTCTCCTAAGTTATAAATATATTGTTTCGTGCATGACCATAGAATTTATTTTTTTATAAATATATGTAGCTAATAAATACAATATAGTGTTGGCTGGAACTCTAAGAGATTGCAAACACAAATATTACAATTAAGAATAAGGATCAATAGTCTTAAGCAATTTTCTTATAAATATCATTCTCATTTTAAAACTTAATTTTTACTTTTAATACTTAATAATTATTATAAAAAGAATATGTAGAACTAAATTATTAGTATCCAAGTTTTTTTCACAAACTTTCTTTACAGAACGGAGCACCTGTTTTATATCAAACGCATTCACTTTAGATTCCATAATTAAACATGTTATTTAAAATGTTAGAAAACAATATTGAATATTAAATAAAGAAATCTTTATCAAGTTATTAAATTTCCATTATTTGGAAAAAAGTTTCGTGTATTTTTGATTTTTTTTTTTGAGAATTTGGAAAATTATTGACTAATTTTCCAAATTCTCAAAAGATATTTTTGATCTGAGATATTTCTGAAATTAAAAAAAAACTACACCGTTTATGCTTTAAGATAAATCAACAAAGCATCGATAAAAAAGCACTTGAATGTAGAAATAATTGTATTTTTTATAACATTTCAAAATGGTTTTTTTACGATAAGTATCTAAAGTTTTTTTTCATTATTTTGTAGCCAATATAGTAATTTTTATGACAAAATATATCACTTTAATGTTGAAAATCCCAAAATTCTTACAAATTAAATGTTTCGTCTAATTGATTATCATTTTATTGACAGTACAAATCATAAATGCTCCTCTCATAACGTATGTGTACACGGTTTATATCAAATTAACCGGGAAGTAATCAATCTTCGCATGAACAGTTTATTATTGAACAATATTTATCTTAATTACAACTGAAAAAACTATATATTTACTTAGAAAATCTGATAGATATCTATGGTATAAAAATAAGAGAGATTAAATAAAATTTTGCACTGTCACGCTTGATTTCAAAGTTTCTTATTGACTTCAATTTACAACTTCAAGATGAACTCACGAATTGCTATCTTCTTGTTCTTCATTATTGCAGCGTTAGCTATTTCAGGTAATAATTATACATTTAATTACTATTTCAAATTATTTTAAGTTTATTACTTTCATTCATGCTGTTTGTATCAACTTTAAATTTAGGTGGAAATATTTGTAATTCAGTCCAATAAACCTATTTTTTTTTCAATAAATCAATTTTTCTAGCACAAATTACCTACAGATGTTAAGAGGTTTCGAAAAAAAAACTTAAATATAAGAAGTGTTAAACCATATATTTGAGAATTGTATTTCTATTTCCACATAAAATATATTTACTATTACGTATTTTGAGCTGCGGAGTTTCTGGTCAAAACTTAAACGGAACAAAAGTTCCATTTGCTTTCAATTACACTATTTGTCTCTATCCCTTTTTACAATTGAAGTCTTCAATTTTTATGACAACATTGCATGAAGATCTTGCATTTTTCTAAAATACATTGAAACTCAATTAAAGTTTCATACTCTTGCTATTTAGTTTCAGGAATCTTTTGATAGAATATGTGTATGTTTCCTAAAATCACGTCTACGACATAATTCTTTCCAGTATCCTTGAGATATTTTATATGTTATTTCATTTGTTTACGCAAAATGTCTGTTTAATGTATGTTGGCAGGGAAAATTAATCAAGAAATTTTTTGAAGGAACAGAATGAGGCAAACAAAAATTATTACTATTCTATATATTACCAGAAATTAAAAAATAAATGGGAAAATTTCCTCAGTTCATAATCATTCTATTCATCTTTCACCAAAATATTAAATAGAAGCACTTGTCGTCAGTGTATTTGTTTAATTTCATAGATAGTACTGAATTTAGATATGTTAGTAACAGGAAAAAGGTGAGTTACTTAATTTATTGCTGAACTGTGAGTAAAGCACTGTTGTTAAACTTTTGAAAAATGTTGTTTGGATGCACATTTAAGAATATATTCGAGTTTTGAATTTAGCGTTAGTAAATCAAAATTATAAAAATTTCCTTATATTTAAAGTTTTAATAATTATTTTAAAGTTTTAATAAATAGTTAAGTTAAAAGTATAAGTTTAAATAAAGTAGGCATTGCTAATTAATGAAACCTTCTTTCTTTATAGCTACGTTTGGTGATGGTATGTAAAACATTTGAGTTCATATTGCTTTTTTCGTTATTTTTATTTCATTAAATCATGTTTTCTTCTAGTATATGCAAATATATTTTATTCGGAATAAATATTTCACTAATAAACATATTATTTGAAAGAAAAGACAAAATTTCAGTTATTTTAAATTCAATTAGTGTTATATTTTGGTAAATTGAAATCAAAAATCTCTTTAAAGACATATTTTTATTTAAATTAGTTATTTTATTTGGTAGATTTTAATTATGATTTTTATAAGCGAAATTTTAAAAATTAATCTGTAATGTCTCTTGCAGCTTATGGGTTTTTCAATTTTAAATTCACATATTGTATTTTTTACCTCATGTCAATTTTAAAAAATACATAATATTTCATTAAGAAAAATATTAATTTACTTTAATGATTTTCTTTTAAAAAAATTGAGTTGAATATTATAGGATTTAAAAAGTAACTTAAATCAATTACTAATCTATTAAAAAAAACATCTTTTAACTAAGGAACTGTTAATTAAAATACTATTAAAAAGTTTAAGATCAGAGATAAATATCGTTAAAAAGTTTGCAGACTAATTAAAACATTTTAGTTTCATATTGAGACGCCTTCCTTGCAAAATTTATATTTAATTCAGCATCTGTCTAAACGTTAAGCATTTATAATCATAATACATGAATATTTCTTAACATCGCACCTATCTGCCTATACAGGCATAAGAGAGAGCGAGAGAGAGAGAGAGAGACAGACAGACTGAGAGAGAGAAAGAGAGAGAGAGACAGACAAACAGAGAGAAAGAGAGAGAGAGAGTGATCTTAACATAAGTTAAGCAGGGGAAAAAAGCCTTACTTAAGAGCATTTGAACTTTCTTGAATTGTTTTAATATAAAACATTTACTTAAAAAAATTTAATATTTCCTCAGTTAAGTTAATTCAAAAAAAAATTATTTTAGCACGCAAGAGTTAAATATTATATTACTAAACACTCTTAACTAATTAATATTTGATTTAAATTGCTCTTTTTTTTATTTTAAGTGGAAGACCAGTTAAAACAAGCTGGTTTGAACTCTGAAATGGGTATGTAATAAAATAACTTTAATTACATATGAAAAAATTACACATTAGTAAAACGCACATCTATCGTTGTTTTAACTATTTACATGGAAACTTATTCGTTATATTTAAAACTATGGAAATCATTATTAACTATGCTCTCTAATAAATATTTTTATCCATCTCTGGAATGGAAGGTAGTTTAAGGGACTTAATTCTGTAAATCTAAGTTTACCTTTACATAATAATCTTATGAAAAGGTAAACTTAGCTTAACCTTTATATTTAAAACTAGAGAAATTCTTAATAAAATTTTTTCTTATAAATATTTTTATCTATCTTAGAAATGGAAGGTATTTTTAATGGCCTTTATTATGTGAATCCAAATTTACGCAATCCTTCAGTCAGTTTAACTTTGTGAATTGGAAACTCACTATTTTTTTGATTGAATACTTCTATATATGTATTTTGATATTTTGTTAGAATGTAAACTTAAGCTTACATTATAAGCCTTGAGTTAGGTTTTTTAACTAGAAATTTCGCAATATTATTAATATTTTCACTATCGAATGTTCTCATCCGGAGGAAAGTTTTTTTATGTAAGTCAGAGTTCAAGGAAACTATCTTTAAATTCTCCTCTTTGCATCGAAATAATGTATAAATAACAATGATTTTCAATATGGAATATTCCAGTCCATTTAAATTTATCATTTTTAGAAAATTTAAGTCTAACGAAATTGCCTTGAGTTTGTATCTTTACATGAAAACTTCGAAAAATTATTATTATTTTCGTATTTGAATACTTTTTATCCCGAAAAATTTCTTTTAATGTTAACCTAAGTTCAAACTTTCAACCTCGAGTATTCGGATCAAATTATATTAAAAACTTGCGAAATATTTAACACATAAATTTTCACCTGAAAAATCTGAACCTTTCTAATATGGTTTAAACGTAAGGGAGATAGAAATTTTAGATTCAAATTTAATGGTTCTGTGTTCAGATTTACATAATTAGTTTCATAAATAAATGCTAATAAACTGTTCAACAAACGAATGAGAATTATTATTATTCTTAATTTTGCTTTTTTTTAACATTTTCGGATCGTTTACTTTTTTTTTCCTTTCTTATTTAATATTCAAGCTTCCAATAGATAATTCTAAAACTTTCTTCCCTTATTGTAACCTTACTTTTTTTTTCAACAGAAAATATTATATATATATATA